GTCCCTTCCGACCCTTAATCTATGAATCTATGAATATCTACCTGCCTTATGTTAGGCTGTTCCATTACAAGGAAATGCGGATAACATTGTGACATCAGGGAAAAAATCTACTTTGATGTTGCCAATGAGAACTACTATTATAAGCACTCTGATTGTTGGTGATAAATGAAGTAACCACAAAAAAAAACTGAAAACAGAATGATAAAATATAGTAAACAACAAATATACCGCAATCTAAATAAAAAAATATGAAAAAAGATTAAGCTACAAAAGTTAGAGAAGACTCAGATCATAATAGAAGTGCTAATATCTAACATCTCATTTCTACTATGTTAAAGGTCTTACAATATTACAGTAAAAAAAAAAGGGGGGGGGGGTGATTCTACTACCCATAAGAATGACAGAAAAGACAGTTGTCAGGAAATCTATGAAGAATATTTTCTAATTTTAAAAGTCTGACTGTGAAAGAAGTATATACATCATTCTGATTCTAGCAAAAAATAAACCAAAACACCCATAAGCCCTGATTCTGCAAAAACTGCCAGAAAGCAAGAGCACAGAGCTGTACTTCTTAATGGGGTCTGCCTAGAGAATTCCCTTTGCAGAAATCAGGGCAATTAACTAGTTACCTCAGGTGTCTGTACACAAGTGCACGGAGCCTGGGAAACAAGTAGGAAGAAATGGAAGTCCTCACATAGTCACAGAACTATGATGTGACTGGAGTAACAGAGACTTGGTGGGAGCTCGCATGACTAGAGCACTGTTATGCATGGGTACAAATGATTCAGGAAGGACAAGCAGGGGAGAAGACGTGAAGGAGCTGCAATTCATGTAAAAGATCCATATGATTGCTCAGAGCTCCAGTATGATAATGGAGATAGGTCTCTTGAGAGTCTCTTGGTTAGGGACAGAGGGGAGAGCAACAAGGGTGATGTCATGATGGATATCTGCTGTAGACCACAACACCAGGAAGATGAGGTGGATAAGGCTTTCTTCAGACAACTAGAAGACAACTTTGTGATCACAGGCCCTGGTTCTCCTGGGGGACTTCAACCACCCTGACATCTGCTAGGAGGGCAATACAGCAGTGTGCAGGCAATTCAGGAAGTTTTTGGAGGGTATGGGGGACAACTTTCTGGTTCAAGTGCTGGAGCAGCCAATTAGGGGCCATGCTCTTCTTGATCTGCTGCTCACAGACAGGGAAGAATTGGTGGGGAATATAGTAGTAGATGGCAACTTGGGCAGCAGTGACCATGAGATGATTGAGTTCAGGATTCTGAGGAAGAGAAAGATGGAGAGCAGCAAAGTAAGGACCCTGGACTTCAGAAAAGCAGACTTCAACTCACTCAGGGAACTCATGGGCAGGATCTCCTGGAAACCAGCCTGAGGGGGAGAGGAGTCCAGGAAAGCTGGCCGTACTTTAAAAAGGCATTACTGAGAGTGTAGGAACAAACTATCCTGATGCACAGGAAGACCAGCAAGTATGTCAGAAGACCAGCTTGGCTTAGCACGGAACTCTTCAGTAAACTAAATCACAAAAGAGGAAGCTTATAAGAAGTGAAAACTTGGACAAACAACTAGGGAGGAGTATAAGAGTACTGCTCAGGCATGCAGGGATGAAGTCAGGAAGGCCAAAGCACAATTGGAGTTGCAGCTAGCAAGGGATGTGAAAGGTAACAAGAAGGGTTCCTACAAGTATGTTGGTAGCAAGAGCAGAATCAGGGAAAGTGTGGGTCCCTTACTAAATGGGGGAGGCAACCTTGTGACAGAGAATGCAGACAAGGCTGAAGTGCTCAATGCCTTTTTTGCCTCAGTCTTCACAGGAAAGATCAGCTCCCAAACTACTGCACCAGGCAGCACAGTTTGAGGAGGAGGTGAGCAGCCAACAGTGGTGAAAGAAGAGGTTAGGGACTATTTAGAAAAGCTGGACGTGCATAAGTCTATGGGGCTGGATGGGATGCACCCAAGGATAATGAGGTAGTTGGCTGATGCGACTATATAGGCATTGGCCATCATCTCTGAAAACTCATGATGATCAGGAGAGGTCCCAGATGACTGGAAAAAGGCAAACATAGTACTGATATTTAAAAAAGGGAAAAAGGAGGATCCAGGGAACTACAGACCAGTCAGCCTCACCTCAGTCCTTGGAAAAATCATGGAGAAAATTCTCATGGAATCCATTTCTAAGCACTCAGAGGAGAAAAAGGTGATTAGAAACAGTCAGCATGGAATCACCAGGGGCAAGTCATGCCTCACCAACCTGATCGCCTTCTATGATGAGGTGACTGGCTCTGTGGATGTTGTGTACCTTGATTTCAGCAAGGCTTTTGATATGGTCTCCCACAACATTCTCACAGGCAAGCTAAGGAAGTATGGGCTGGATGAACAGCCTGTAAGATGGATAGGAAACCGGTAGGAGCATCAGGTGCACAGAGTAGTAATCAATGGCTTGATATCTAGTTGGCAGCCGGTATCAAGTGGAGTGCCCCAGGGGTTGGTCCTGGGGCTGGTTTTGCTCAATGTCTTCATCAACGATCTGAAAGATGGCTTAAAGTGCACCCTCAGCAAGGTTGCAGATGACACCAAGCAGGGCAAAGTAGTAGATATGCTGGACGGTAGAGCTAGGATACAAAGTGACCTAGACAAATTAGAGGACTGGGTCAAAAGGAATCTCATGAGGTTCAACAAGAGCAAGTGCAAAATCAGAACAATCCCAGGCACCAGTACAGGCTGGGGGCTGACAGGCTGTGCAGCAGCTCTGCAGAAAAGGACCTGGGGATTACAGTGAACAAGCTGAATATGAGCCAAGAGTTGCCCCTTGTTGCCAAGAAAGCTAACGGCGTACTGGACTGCATTGGTAGGTGTGCTGCCAGTAGGTCAAGGGAAGTGATTATTCCCCTCTATCCAGCCCTGGTGAAGCCATATCTGCAGTAGTGTTCAGTTTTGAGTCCCCCACTACAGAAAGAATGTGGACAAATTGGAGAAAGTCCAGCGGAAGGCAACAAAAAAAGTGAGGGGGCTGGGGTACATGACTTCTGAGAAGAGGCTGAGGGAACTGAACTTATTTAGTCTACAGAAGAGAAGACTGAGAATTGATTTAATAGCAGCCTTCCACTACCTGGGTTTAGAAGAGAAGACTACCTGAAGTGGGGTTCAAAAGAGGTGCAGCTAGACTGTTCTCAGTGGTGGCAGATGACAGAACAAGGAGCAATGGTCTCAAGTTGCAGCAAGGGAAGTTTAGATTAGATATTAGGTCAAATTTTTTCCCTAGGAAGGTAGTAAAACACTGGAACAGGTTACCCAGGGAGGTGGTGGAATCTCTTTCCTCGGAGGTTTAAGACACAGATAGACAAGGCATTGGCTGGAATTATCTAGTTGGGGCTTGTCCTGCTTTGAGCAGAGGGTTGGAATAGATGACTTCCTGAGGTCCCTTCCAACCCTAATTTTCTATAATTCTATGAATGAGCTTTATTCTATATATTCCTTTCATATAAATTGTACCCAACATTTTATAAATTAAAGTAGTTAGAGATAAAATAGCTGAATGTAAAAAAAATGGAGGAAGAAATAATGTAGGAAAGGGAAAATGCAAACAAAAAAAAGATAAGCTTAAATATGAAATCTGAACATACATAGTTAGAGGTGTACCGATATATCAGTCTGATATCAGATCAACACCAATATAAAGAAAGTTGACTGTATTGAAAATCGACCCAATGTGGCCGATAAATGCCCCATGTATGCGTGCAGCTGCAGCGCAACACGTAGGTAGTGAGAAGCACAGCCTAGCAGCTTGGAGTGCTGTGTACAGCTGGTAAGTCTGTTGTGGTGGAAGGGGAGGGGGGAGGCAAAAGGCGAGGGGTGTGGGGGGGGCAGGTCAAGGCTCTCATGGTGAGAGAGGGAGTGGGGTTGGGGCAAGCACTGCCCAGCAGGGACAGCGCAGGGCAGGGCACGGGATGGAGCCACGGCTCATCCGGGGAGCAGGCGAGGGGGGTGGCTTCCACTGCTGCACACATCCCGGGAGCGCACGGGGTGGGGGGTGTCCCCAGATCTGTGCAGGGCGGGATGGGGCCAGGGCTGCATGGGGCTCTACCTGGCAGGGGCTGGGCCAGGCTGTGCTTGACATGGGTGGCGGCTGCACTGGGAGAAGGGATTGGGGGGCTACAGAGAATTTTGGGGTGGCTGTAGCCCCCCCCATAGCCCCCTTCCAGCTCCGTCACTGCCCACCTGGAGCAGAGCCCGGCCCAGCCCCAGGCCCAGCCCGCACAGACCCAGGGGCACACACCCCAGATGCCCTCCCAGGGTGCACAAAGCAGCGGGAGCCGCCCCCCCCACCCCACACCCCCTGGACAAGCCATGGCTCTGTCCTGCACCCTGCCTGTGCACCAGCCCCACTCCCTCCTGCACTGCAGAGGCCTCAATCTGCCCCCCCATGCCCTTCCACTACAACAGGCTTACCAGCCAGACACTGCTCTTCAAGCTGCCAGGCTTCATATCAGAAATTGGATTGGTATCAGCCAATATTCCTTCTGAAAAA